GGATTATGGGTTATTTGAGCGGTGGTGTTTTGAGTAAATAATTTGAAGTGTTAGAACCTAATTCAGTTGTCTTCCACGATGATGTGAAGAACGAGGCTTTAGTTGCAATGGACGTGACAGCGACAGGTGATGGGAATGGGAACGGAAACGGGAACAGGAACGGGAACGGAATAGAGTGACAATGACTGCAAAAGTTGACGGTCATGGAGATAGGCTGGTTGAGACGATTAGTGTACGATGACGTCGACAAAGCTTTTTGTTGTGGTCTCGGTTTGCGAAGGCGATAACAACTGGATCGCGAGGGTTGCAATAAGATGTTTTCGTGATGTACGTGATACAATGGATTACAATGATGACGATGGTGCTCTCGCGAAGCTGGGATTCTGACGACTCCGAGAGGTATGATTTTTGCCACCTATGAAGCACGGGTACTCCGAAAATGTTGTCATACTTGTATCGGGTACTGGTATACATACCGATAGGTCTGCATGTGTACCGGGTACATTTTATACGTTCTTTGGTAGTTGGGTACTCCATGCATACGGGATGGGTACATTAGGGATACACCAAACTATGTGACATTGGTGGAGATACGTTTAATTTATTAGAGAGTTCTGATTTATTTGAAATTGCAAATCCTTTACTTGATGTGTCAAAGATAAAAGATGTATTATTCAATGATGAAGTTGATGGAAGCGAAAATTGAGGTCTCAAGTTTCCAAATTTTGCTTAACTTGCTTTTGGAATGAAACTTTATTTTGTAATTTCTTCTATTTAATGGTATTAAAATAGCTTATGGACTTTGCTTTGGTATTGGTATTGTTGAATTATGATTTCTCTTTCGGTTTTGTAATTTTTCCTTTTAGTTTTGGTATTGAATTTTGATTTGTAGGTTAAATCTCAAACTATATAAAAAAATATAAAAATTATTGATGTACCCTAGTCGTACCTATATCATATTTTTTTTAGGTCTTTCTGTATCAGCATACCCGTACCAATATCCGCACCACTACTTGCGCTTCATAATTTTCCACTGATTTAGATGATAGATGAGAGAGGAAGGGGGAGAGAAAAAAAAGGAGAGAAAAAAAAGGGGGATTGGAGCTTGTGCTTGGATACCAAAATGTTGGAGAATAGAATAGAAGAGGAGGAAACACAAAGGGCCACAACCTTTTAGTCCTATAGATAATTGCAATGTTAGAACCCTAATATATAGGACTAAAACCCTAATCTAAGTATGAAACTTTCCTAATATTATTTGGGAAACAAAATCAAATCATATGCTAATATTAAGTAATTAAATCTAAGTACTACTAATAATAATATTCTACCAATTACATTTATGAGACCAAAACACCTTCAGGCTCATGTGCTTCACCCTTGGCTTCCAACTCCGATAATGGGTTTCCATATATTGAATGGCTGTGCCATCACCCTACCATTTTTCCTCAAAACACAATCCAAAATAAGAAGTATCACTGTAAATTACAGAACCTTCCGTACTTTATGGCAAAATGAAAATATGTGCTATAAGAAGTCTTATGTTCAAATCTTGGAATGAAGCTTCCTGTTCTTTTGTTCATTCAAATAAAACCCCTTTTTAAGTCAACTGTGTCAATAGTAATTTTGGGAAGTTTTCATGAACTTCTTATAGTAACTAGCTAAACCTTGAAAACTGTGTATTTCCATCACATTAGTTGGTTTCAACTAATTCAAAATTGCTTCAGTCTTTTGTGGATCAATAGCAATACTTTGTTTATTAATCACATGGCCCAAACAAATACACTGGTCAACCAACACTCACATTTCTTCTATTTAGCATAAAGCTTCTTATCCCCTAAAGTTTGGAGTGTCAATCTCAAATGGTACTCATGATCTTCCTTGCTTTTAGAATAGATGAAAATTTCATCAATAAATTCAACTAGAAAATCATCCAGATATGGCTTGAATACAAGATTCATTAGGTCCATAAATGCAACAGGTGCATTTGTCATTCCAATTGGCATAACTAGAAATTCATAGTGAAGTGATCATACCTAGTTTGGAAAGTAGTTGCTCTACATCCTCTGCTTTGACTTTAAATTGATGATAACCAAATCTGGGATCAATCCTTGCAAATACCCTTTGCTACCTATAATTCATCAAACAAATCATCTATTTTTGGCAATGGGTACTTATTCTTAATGGTTACCTTGACTCGGCTCCAAGGGTATTATAAATCAGCCATTAAATTTACATCCCCAACCACTATATTACACTTTGTAGATAGATGTACATGTCATAGAGCCTCCAGAGGGGAGTAGATACCGACAACATATAATCCAAAGTTTCAAACCCTTGAATTAATTAGTCGGGTTTTGATCCCGACACCTCAGTGCCAATAAAATAAAATAAAAAAAAGTTTGCAAGTAACTCCTTGGAGAGGGCATGTGCACCCTTGGGGATTAGTCGGGTTTTGATTCGGACACCTCAGTGCCAATAAAAAAAATAGCATATAATCCAAAGTTTCAAGTGGTCTAGTTAATTTATCAGCAAACTGAATTGAAACAAAGGAGTAGGACCTGAATCTATCAACACATAAGCGGGATGAGTGCAAATAGGAAGTATACCTGAAACCACTAAGTCGGTATTCTTAGTATCTCTTGGGATAAGTCCAAACACTCTCCCTTGCCTTGTTGGCTTCTTTATTTTAGGCCTTGGGGCAGGTTTTTGGGCTGAATCAAATATACTAGCTATTGCAATATTGGTGCCTTTCCGAGCTTTAAGGCAATCCTTTAGCTGATGCCCCATTCGCCAACATCTAAAACATGCTTCAATATTCCAATGACAAGACCCTCAATGATTCTTTCGACATGTTGAGCAAACCCGTGGAGTATTGCCACTTTGATTAGAAGTACTCGATTCTCCTGCACTTGGCTTCTTAATTGTTGTATTTAACTGTGCTTTTCTTGGTTCAAACCCTTGCTCCTTTCTTTGCCACTTTCTTGACTTCTCCAGCTCATCAATGTCTTTCTTGGCTATAAGTGCTCTGTCCAACACTCCTGCATAGGTAGATGGCCTCAAAACATCAACCCGACCTTTGGTAATCCTCCTCCTCAAACCACCCTTAAATTTCCTGGCCCGATGCTAATTTGTGTCTACCATATGTGGTGTAGAACAAGCTAACTCTGTACATTATCTTGCTCTACTGAAGTTTTCCACCTTGCATTAATGCCATGAACTCCATCCTTTTTTTGTCCCTCATAATCTAAGAAAAGTATTTCTTATAAAAGATCTTCAAGAAATTGTTCCAAGTCACTCTTGAATTCTAATCTCTTACCATTATCCAGCATCTAGATGCTTTACCATAAGGTAAATTACAAATACACTCTCTGAGGGTTGCTTAAAATACTAATTGGCTCCTGTGATTTTGAAAAATTACATCTTGCCCCTTAAAATTTCTAATGACATAACAAATGACCCCTTTCATTAATCAACTATTAAGTTAATTAACAGCTTTTAATAATGTTTGCAATATATTTCAATTAATAGGTCTGGTAATTTCATTGTTGTATTGGAGGATAGTTAGGAATTTTTTTTTTTTCTATCAATTATATTAAATGACAAATTTTGACAAAGGGGTATTTGTAATTTCCAAAACCACAGGAGATAATCTGTATTTTAAGCAAATATCAGGGGGTGAATTTGTAATTTACCCAAAATATAAGTAGCAAGTGAAATCTTGTGCGTTCCAGAACATGGAAGCAATTCAAAGATCTTCTAAATCCCCATTACTCAAGCTTCAACCTTTAGAGGGTCAAGTCCACCTTCAATTGCTAGAGACTGTATGTTGAATTCTTTGATTGTCACACGTGGTCTTTGCTCCATTTGATCTACTGGGACTGGTGGTGGTTCTTGATTCTGTTGTCCTTGGTTGGGTAGATCTTTATTTTGCTGGTTTTGATTCTGATTATCCTGATTTCATTGAACTGGTGGTTCATTGTAACGCTGTTGTAAGGTCTCCGTTATTCCCTCCAGCATTCTTTCTGTTATTCCGTACAGCATTCTTTCCAACCTGTCCATTTGTGTAGTGGAATGTTCGGCCTTTCCCTTCACTTTATTTCTATGCACACAAAACATGAATTAAAGATATTTGCAATAATGTGTATTTATCAGGAAAATACTTGACTTATAATACGACACTTTGCCCGTAGTATACACATTTACATATAATACAACTTGATATAAAACTTGGTTGAATAACCCATAATTTGGGCGAGGCTTGACAGAGTTTTCAAATGCAACTCTAAATTCCATTATAAAAGAACCTATTGCTCTGAAGGATGTACTGTGTGCAAGTAAAATAAACTTGTGCTCTAATACCAATTCCTTTACAACCCCATCTGCCCCAAACTAGGATAGGGCAGTGACCTGTCAATAGTCATAGACTACCAAAGGCTTAGCTGAACAATCTTGTAGTCCTCTAGTTAAAAGTTGGGCTAAAATCATCACAAATAGAGGAAGCCTCTAAATTCGTTAACTTGTTTAATCCCACAACATCCATTCAGCGCAAGTGCATAGATAGATGAAATGAAAACAAACCACTTCTTTATTTATTACTACGACATTCTGACTGAGTCACAATGGAGTACAACTTAAAACAAAAGAACTGTACATCGTGTTTATCAAACCAATTATATACAAAGGTCTTGACAACACATTTCTCTCTCGAGAAGGAAAAACATGCAGATCTTCACATCGTATACACATGTATACAAAGCTGGCACAAGCGTCATCCACCTTTTAATCCTACATACGTATAGGGACGAGGCTTGAGCTAAAGCCCAATGAATATCATTAAATCAAAGCCATAGAATGAATGGATATCTTCATTTGTATGACAATAGCATAGTTGGAGCTTAAACAACTATATAACCTTACATTGTTTCTTTGAGTACATCTGGTTTTCAACTTATACCTCATTCATTTGTCCAAACTATTAACATTGTTTTTGGGTTCAGGTGTTTGTATTTGTACTACTTGGGATTTTCCTTGCAGGAGCTGTTCAAGGATATTGGATTGTGCGGAAATTTGTTATTTCAGAAGATGGAAGTGTAGACGTTGGCATAGCTCAATTTGTGAAATGGGCCATGCGTGTCATTGCAGCCACATTTATTTTCCAGGTGGTCTACTATGCAAGATAGAAAATAATGTGATACTGTTACAGTAGTGTATCACTGGATCCAATGGATGTCACACATTACATTCAATTTGGCTTGCATCCTTGCAATTTCTTTCCACGTTTACAATTTTGCAATGCATCTAAATCTCTAATTCTTATTTTCTGTCAGAGTACTCTGGATACTCGTCTAGCAATGGGAGCATTGGTTTCTTGTTTGGCAATCTACTTGTTTATCACTTTGTTCAAGTGGAATGGTCCAAAGTAAGTTCCTTGTACTATCACTTTCTTACCGTTTTGCCTTGCATCATGCTAGTTGACTTGTAATTCTTTTACCAAATAAATTGTCACATAAATAGCACTTCATTCAATTTATTCAGTGCTGTATAATTGATTTGTTTAATTTTGATGTTTGAGTCAATTAACTAGACATCTATTTATATTATTCAATATGGATGGTCTGCTTGTTGAATATAATAATAGTTATAAATATTGATTGAAGGGATGGTTTTAATGTTCATCACATTTCGTGGCATGAACCCTTTGGTACAAAATCATGGTTGATGGACATCTAGGAAGAACCAAGAGACCCGTGTCAGACACGCAGTCATACATCCATTTTTTTCTGTAGGACACTCTAGACACAACGACGACATGCATGTTGTTTCTCAGGATAGTGTTGTAAAAGGCGTGCCAAGGCTAAATGCCACTACTAATGTTAACATACACTTTTTTTTATTTGATTTATACATATGATCCCTTGATGCCACTACTAATGCTAACATACACTTTATGAACCTAGAGGCTCAAAGTGTACTATGCATGCCAAATATGCAACAAACTGTTTGTTCTAGGAGAAATTAAAACTTAGGGTTGATAATGATATCACACACTTTTATATTAATTAATCCAAGAAGATTACAAGGAAAGGAAATCCTCAGGCACTGAATAAGGAATCAAACATATAATCTAAATAAGGAAACACATTGTAGAATAATTCTAACATATATTCTAACACTCCTCCTCAAGCTAGTGCAAAGATATCTCTCTTTCCCAGCTTGTCAAGAATGTCATGAAATGGTTTACTTCCAACTCCCTTGGTGAGGATATCCGTAAGTTGTTCACCAGATTTCATAAATGGTGTACATATTGTGCCACTAGTGAGCTTCTCTGTGATGAATTGACGATCAATCTTAACATTTTTTGTCCTGTCATGTTGAATTAGATTGTGAGTTATGTTGATGGCAGTCTTATTATCACAATATAGCCACATGGAGTCTGTCTGGCCAATTCCCAGATCACTCAATGACAACTTAATTCCCAAGAGCTCACACACACCTTGTGCCATAGCTCTGAATTCAGCTTCTGCACTAGACCTGACAACCACATTTTGTTTCTAACTTCTCCAAGTTACCAAATTGCCGCCAACAAAGGTACAATACCCTGAAGTGGACCTCCTATCAGTTACTGATCCTGCTCAATCTGCATTTGTATAAGCTTCCACACTAAGATGATAATGTTTGAAAAAATAAAGACCTTTTGCAGGAGAAGATTTCAAATATCTCAAGATTTTCATAGCTGCATCCGAGTGTATTTCACGAGGAGCATGCATAAAGTGGCTAACCACACTAACGGCAATAGCAATATCAGGACGAGAATGTGATAAGTAAATGAGTTTATCCACTAGTCTTTGATTACTCTCTCTATCAACAACTGCTCCCCACTATCATCACTAAGTTTCTGATAAGACTCTAGTGGTGTGTCATAGGCTTTGCTTCTAAGTATCCCTGTTTCTTTCAACAGGTCAAGGATATATTTTCTCTAACAAATGAAAATCTCATCTTTGGACCGAGCCACTTCAATTCCCAAAAAGTACTTCAGGTTCCCCAAGTCTCTGATTTCATACTCACTTGTTAAATACTTCTTCGCAAAGGGATTTCCTCAACATCATCTCCTATAAGCACCATATCATCCACGTATACAATGAGAGCGATAGCCTTACTATGAGCGGAATGTTTAACAAATAGGGTATGATCAGCCTGACTCTGTATGAAGTCATATTTCAGCATCGCCTGAGTGAACCTCTCAAACCAAGCCATAGGGGATTGTTTGAGACCATGTTATGATTTCCAAAGTCGACACACCTTACCCTTAGGTCATGTTTGTTTATCGGCATAGGTGGCTGGATTGGTTTGCTATGGCGTTTGGTGATGATTTGGGAGGGAGGATTGATAGTGCGAGGGTCTTAGTAATCCCCCTCAGGTAGGGGATTAGCTTGGCCAGGTTTTGGGTGGCATTAAGAAAATAGTGAGCAGATTGAGTCTATTTTATATAATTTTTTTTTTTTACCAAGTGTACCTGTTTGTTTTAATATTTGTTTTATTTATTTTTTAAATATAGAAATAATTTTTTTACTTATTTTATATAAAAATAATTTAACAATCCCATCACTGTTATCTCCCATACTATCATCAAAATAAACACATTTTTATTTAATCCCCTCACTAACAATCTCTTCACTAATCATCATCTCAATAACAATCTCATCCAATCTAATTCGCTAAACAAACGTGGCCTTAGTTTGAAGAGTTTCAAAGCCAGGATGAATGTCAATATACAATTCTTCCAGGTCACCATGCAGGAAAGCATGCTTCACATCAAACTGATAAAGTGACAAATCCAAATTAGCTACCAGAGAGAGAAGTACTCTGACTGAATTCATCTTTGCAATTGGAGCAAATGCCTCTTACTAGTCCACCCCATAGGTCTGAGTAAAACTCTTTGCCACAAATCGAGCCTTATACCGCTCAATTGAGTCGTCTGCCTTGTACTTCACAGTATACACACATTTGCATCCCACAATTCGTTTGCCCCTAGTATTTCAGTCAAATCCCAAGTGCCATTCTTACGAAATGCTTTCATTTCTTCTATCATGGCAAGTTTTCACTCAAAGATAACAAGAGCATTCTGAAAATGATTAGGTATACTAACAGAGGAAATTTTTCACACAAAGTCTTTATATGAGGAAGACAAATGAGAATAAGATACATAGGTAGAGATCGGATGATAAGTACAAGATTTCACACCCTTTCATTTGGCAATAGGTATATCAAGATTAGTAGGCTCAGGAATAGTAATATCAGTGGAATCAAGGGGAACACGAGGATTACCTGGACTCTCATCAGGAGAAAGAGACAGTAGAGGCTGATTAGAACTAGTCTCTTGCATCCAAGTAACTTTCTGCCTTTCTTTGTCCTTGATAGAGACTTGCCCTTCCTTGTCCTAGATAACATTTGGTTCACCCTGGTCAATCTGCACAACTTGTAATGATCTAGGAGCAACATGAAAAATAGGAATCTCTTCATACCAAGGCTCCCCCTGAAGGGATGACTAGGATATCGGATAGGACAAGAAGTAGAGGGAATGATTATGGACAAAACAGATTCAACCAAAGATTTTAGGAGAAATGGAAAATAGAGACTAGGAACCCAAGACAACTCAAATCCCGAGTAAAACAACTCAATGATAAAAGATTAATTGAGAAATTCGGAACATGTAAAATGGATGACAAATGTGTAGAAGGAGTGGCACAGATTAAACCTTTGTCGAAACAGAAGAAATAGTACCATCTGTAATCCTAACTTTGTGTTGATCGGAAGTGGGCATATAGTTCGAGAAAAGATTAGAGACCCAAATATATGATATGAGGCACCAAAATCAATAATCCATGATAAAGACTTATGTGATAGGAAAGCACTATGAGAAGAGGCTAAGTTACCTGAATGGGGAAATGAAGAGGAAGATGCACTGGTGGAAGTCCGGCGGTTTGGCAAGTGATGTAAAGCATCCTCAAACTCATAAGAAGAAATACTAGACCCAACATCAGTAGACGGGGCAGCTGGAGTAGAGTCATGTGTATTAACCACAAGAATACTATTATCTTGTGGATTTGCTCTATTCCTATCTTTTTAAGCCCCCACCAATCCATTCCAGACTCTCTCTGGGCGGCGGCCTTTTTCTCCTTTTTTGTTCATTCTAGTTATGGAGATGTTTGAGTCACATGATTTACAAATCAGTGGTAGGGGGTTTCATGGAGGGCTATAGGGGTGGGTCAAATGGATGGTTTGGAGTTGGTGGTATCTCACTTCTTGTATGCAAATGTTGCTATTATTTTTGTGGAGCGGATGCAATGCAGTTAGGATATCGTGTGCTATTGCACTTTGAGGCTGTTTTTTGCCTTAAAGTTAACTTGGCTGAATCAGTGATCATTCTAATTGGAGGGATGGGACTCTCTAGGAACTATTTTGGGGTGGAGGGTTGCTTTCCTTCTTTGTATTTAGGCCTGCCTTTGGGTGCATCCTTTAAGGCTAGGTCACATTGGGACTCTGTAATTGAGATTGTGTTTCAAATGATTTTAGATTGTTAAGAGGATAAATTTGCTTCAATAGCTAATTATTTTTGAAAAGAGAGAACTCTAGTCTTTTGTTATATTTCATTTTACATGGATGTGCAAGATTGGGTGTTGGTTGAGATGACGAGTTTAATGGAGATATTGTGTAGGACATCGGGGATTGGGACAAGGAATGACTCTTTGAGGTGGAATTTATCCAAATCGGGTTGATTTTAGGTCAAATCCTTTTATCAATGTTGGTTGGTTGGCCTAATTCATCATTCCTATGGAAAATTATATCGGCTCCAAGGTCTCCACCAAGGTAGCATTTTCTTGTATGATTTGCAGCATAGAATAAGAGCCTCAAGATCGATAATTTGGTTAGGAGGAAACAAGGTTTTGTGAATTGGTGTGGTTTGTGTAGACAGGATAGTAAGGGTGTCCCAAAACTTGATTTATCCAACGTACCTGATTCAACCCGCCCGATATGACCTCATTATAGACGGTTTCGCCTTTCCATCGGTTGGTAATAGTTGAAATTTCTAAATTTTTTGTAAAATTCAGTCGGACATCGGATTTGGTAGAGGATAACTTGACATACCCGACCCGTCCGAATTATCTGTATTTATCATTGCAAGCCATGATTGCTGCCATCTCTTTGGTAAATTAAATTTTGTCTTCCCATTGCAGAGACTTGCGCTTTCCTAAGCTTTTGTCTTCCCAAGGCAAGGCTTGTACACTTTCCTTCAATAATAATCATTTCATCCGTTCCTTATGTTTTCAATACAAATGTTTTTTCTCTTTCCAAGACAAGTCTATTCATTCCACCTGCCCCATTAAATGCTTTTGTCCCTCTCTCTCACCCTCTCATCTT